TATACATATATATATACCTTTACGTGGCACCATAAACTCAGGTCTTTCTCTATCTGTTGGTAATACTAAACTTATTTACTTATTAAGCAAAATACATAAGCATGCAACTCAAACCAGGTTATTTTTTCTAGTAAGTCCGAGAATAAAAGGGAAGAAAGAGTTTCTAGAAAATCTGCAATAAAAGGGTTTATCTTTAAGTTTTCAAAGTTACCCTTCACCCTACGCCAGCAAGGTGGAGGAGGGGAGTTGAAGTTTGGTATCATTGGGTTGCTTTTAAAAAATATTTAATGTATCTAGCTTCACTTTTTGATCCGATGTATATTTCTCGAGATATTTGACCGTTTCGAAACTTCTTTGCTCTCTGTATATACAATATTATTCTCAAGTTCTGGCTCCAGAGGTAAGTAAGGGGGAGTAGTACAGCACGTAATGGAGCATTGTGATGAGTTTTTTTTATCTTACATCACGTTAGCGATAGACACAATTTTAATACTTCTGCTGCCTACTATTCTGGGATGTCCCGAAGTCATACTTACGGTGGTTGGTTGCTGGGCAGATTTTAAATTATTACTAAAATCAATTATTACTACAATCAATACATAAATAATTTTGACAATGCCGTGGACATCTCTAGGAACTAGTTGAAATTGAAATCAAAGCAATGGTGGGGCAGGTAAAAATTAAAAAAGATCAAAATGTCAAAGTATTTTTTTTTCTTCTTTTGTGCCTATTATAACATATTTAATGCATTGCCTATTCTGATTCAAACTTTCAAATACGCCATTAATGAATTCTTTTCTTTCACTAGATCACTAGTTCTTTCAGTTTGTTATTTTTACAATGCTAATCAGAGGGCCGAGATATCTGGTTGGTAGGGCATTGGGCCCAAGTCCAAAAGATCGTGAGTTCGATCCTCACCGGCCGATGAGTCCCCATGTAGTAAATGGTGACTGATGCACGTTTAATCTTTCGGGCCACAGTGTCCTACATGTTCCCGTAAGAAATCAATACCTTTGAGGGTTCCCAGGCAGCAAAATAATATTATCTCGAATGAGAAAGATGCAATATAATACTGCCGTGCTAGAAAAAGCTAGTCTCCTGAATCCTATCTTCTAATATTCGAAATAATATTGTATTTATAAGATTAAATAGTGTTCGTTCGAACTTTTGAAATTATCATCTAATTTATTATTTTTGGCTCAGCCCCACTTTTTTGTGAAAGGCTATCCCATATTATTAATAAATAAACATTTATTTATGAACGAAAACAATAAATTAAATATTGCTTAAAATATCATTTTTGGCTAATGCAATTTTATGCCAGAACACGCAAGAAAATATTAGTGGAAGTAGATTCTGTTTGCGAACGATATAACTCTACAAATTTTTTCTACTGTTGAGTTGTAACTTCTTCATGATTGTTTACAATTTACATCGCCATATTGTTTGTGGTCGTCAACTAGAATTAATCGTTTCAAATACTTAAGTTATTTATAATTTAGTACTTTTTATTAAACTTTATAAATTTCAATTATAGATACATGAAACAGTAAAGTAGTATAGAAGGTAGTGTTTTTCCTTCAGTTAAAAATCAGCTAGAAAAGTAATATAAAGCACGATGTGTTAGAGAAGGTGATGCTGCAGAAACATTCTGTATACTTATAGTCTTGACCGTTTAATTAAAATTTTTAAGAATTAATTTAATAATCATATATCTAATAAAGTAAGTTAATATTATGAATTGTGATCATTATTGACTATAAATAGTTCGCGTGTAGTAGTTTATTATAACGTATTGTCTAACTATAAATAATAAATACTGAAATTAGTTCAGAATATGCTTGTAAAACAATGTTTGCTTAGTTATTTGTCTGTGACAGAATTTTGCTGCAGCAATGAAAAAGATGAAAAATGATGGTCTGCTGACAAATTTGCCTTTTTAAAACAATTAAGATTTAATTATCTGCTACTTTTAGCTCAGTTAAAACCATTACATTGCTGAATGTATAAAGTTAAAAAACAAACAAAATTGTTTCCGTATTAAAATTTGTTTAAAATATTGTAAAACAATAAATCAAACATTTTTATCTAAACATTAAATTTCTTGAACACAGACTGATGAGTATGTGTTTAATTCATCATTATTTAGATTAATTTGTAAATGATTAAAAAATAAACAATAATATGATCAATTCATGTGTGAATTCTCCTGGTTGTTGTTGCAGTTCATTTACGTCGCACTAGAGCTGCACAATGGGCTATTGGCGACAGTCTGGGAAACATCCCTGAGGATGATCCAAAGACATGCCATCACAATTTTGATCCTCTGCAGAGTGGATTGCACCCCCGGTTCGGTAACCCGACGACCTGAACGCGAAGTCGAGCACTTTACGACAGAACAGTTTAACGAGGACCAATACATCACATACCCTCGACCCTTACGTAGACTAATCCAAGTGGTCACCCACCCGCACACTGAAGGCAGTCAATGATGTGAATTCGCTTGGATGGTTGCATTAGGGTCCGCTTCAGGTTTATGTGATTCATGCACCTTCTATCCCCCGAACACGTAATTGGCAAATATCCGTGGGAGAAAATGTTATCTAATCAAGTTTTTATTTTCCATCGACAGCTATTGGAGTTGTGTGAATTATATAGAATGAGAACATTCTCATTTAACGTGAAAGAGTCGTAAATTCGGAGATGCGAGAGAGAGTCTGATTGGCGAGTTTTTCACGAGTAAATATATTTTACCAGTCAGGTTCTTATTTGCTTCTCCGATTTCATATTTTTTTGTAGAAAGAGAAAACGGCCCCTTATGGAGCTTGCATTCTCTCTACAAGCGATTCACAAATGTAAGTACGCATAAAAGCGATTAGTTTGTCTTACATGCTTCTAAACCACAAGGCTTACTTGGATTCTACATAGAGCCGTAGTTCAAAATATTCTCACTTGTGTTGAGGATAATTCGATACAGAGTGAATGGCTCCTAAGCTGCGAAACTTTAAAATGAAGAAACCTTCACTCCTTATGCAGAAAATAAATAAATAAAATAAAGTTTTGCGCAGAGAGGCGATTGAGAATTTGATTGGAGAAACATATGTACTCGCGAAGAAAGTACAAATCAGATTCTTCTTCTCATCTGCCCGAAGCGAGGGTGCCATCCCCTCTGCAGAGCATCAAATTTGTGATGC